AAACAAAAAAAAAACAAAGGAGGGGAGGGTTTTTTTTTTGTTTTTTTTTTTTGCGGAACTGGGGATTGAACTCAGACCCTTGCGCTTGCCCGGGAAGTGCTTATTCTACTGAGCCATCTCCCCGGCCCTAGGAGGGGAGATTTTTGCAGTGAAATACAAAAGCTTTATCAGGGGGGATCGCTTATTGAGCTCCATCCCCACTTTCATATTCTGAGACAAGGACTTGCTAAATTGTCCAGGGAATCCCCAAACTCAAATTTGCCATCTTCCTTCAATGCTGAAATTATAGGCATGGGCACCATGCCCAGAGCTTGTGTTTTCCCTGTGTGGCTTTTGACTGAATCCTTCTGCCTTGGCCTTGCAGAAAGCTGGATTATAGGCAGGTGCCAAAACGTGCAGCCTTAAAAGTTTTTTAACTCCCCCCTCCCCCTACCAAAAGCCACTGAATTCTCAACAGAAAAGGGGAAGGGCCACCATTCCCATGGCCACTGCTCTTCTGTGCCTCTGCATCCTCCCTGTCCCTCACACGCCCAGCATCTTACATTTCAAGAGGAGCGATCTCTCTGGTGAAGGGCTTGTTTTCAGCAAGGTACCTGGTTTGTTGCTGGAGGAGCTGGACAGCTGGCATTTCAAGTCTGTGGGGAATTGTGAGACATGAATGCCTGGGGTGCAAGCAAACAACACACACAAAACATACTAAACATGCTATAAAACTGAACATTTGCATCCTTTCTTCCACAGCATCCCATGTGAATTTAGGTAGGAAATGTAAATTCACAGCAACACAAAACTCCTGGACAGCAAGCAGTGGCAGGCAGTGTTCAGCCTGCAGATGAAGAAGAGGAGCCCAGGATCAATCAAACACATGGGTGGGTCCAGTTCTCAGGAAGAGAAAGTGATGGGCAGTCACCCAACAAGAGAGCTCCTCGGAGTACCTTGGGCCCCGATGCTTGCTGTCTCGACTTGCACCTTTCTCCTGGGCCCTGCCTATGTAGCCTCTTTCCAAGCTGCTTGAGCTGCAGTTTGTCATCTCCTGGGCCAGGGTCTGAAGGTGCCCCTTTCTCACCCGCATCACTCATTACATGGCGTGAGGGTGAAACTCAGGAGGCTGCTCTGAGGCAAAGGCCTCTCCCCAGAGCTCTAGAGTCATCGACCTTCTCATCTGTGTGAGCTCACCACATAGGCAAGCTCCTGATCCAAACCCAGCAGGTCCGAATAGTCCTTTCCTTTGATCATTTCTCACGTCAGAAAACCAACAATTTCCTGCTTCTAGTTGCTCAAGACCAAAGGCTTGGGCCTCCTGAGATCTCTGTCTCTTCCCCTACCTCTTCTACTCCACGTTCATACCTCTTAATTACTCCACGTTCATACCTCTTTGCTGTTTCTTCTGCACGCCATGCGTATTCTACCCTGGCCTCAGGACCTCTGCACTTGCTTCACCCTCTGCCTGGAATACATCTGCCTACAGGAAACAGCCACGGTGCTAGTAGCTAACACAAGATGCTGATTATGCCTGGGCCCTTGTATACAAGAACACATCTGCTCTGCTCCCTACAGCTCCCAAGAGGGCGCCCCATAGTCTCTTCCACATTACACATGTGGGAACAGAGGCCTAGACAAGTTGGGTTTGTTGCCCAAGGTGTCATTCAAGCTCCACAGCTGATCGTGTGACCGACCCCTGCCCACTCCTGCCCTCAGACCGGCAGAGTGTAGCTTGTGCTCAGCTCGCATGCCCCCTTCTCAGGAAGGCCTGGCCAGCTGCCCTGCAAGAAAGAGTTCCTCACATCATCACTATCCATTCTTCTTGCCCTGCCTTTATATCACAGCAGTTTCTATCATGGGACACACACACGTGTATACTGTCTGTCCTTCACTGGGGCTTTGTTTCACACCTAGCACACAACAGGGGCTCAGTGTTCAGAGTGAATCTTCGCAGCAGAGGTGAACAAATGAATCAAGGAGCAGAGATTTCTGATTTTTTTTTTTTTCTTTTCAGACAGGGTCTCTCTGCATTGTGCAGGCTGCCTTGAGTTCACTAAGTAGCTCAGACTTGCCTCAGATTTGTAGCAATCATCCTGCCTCTGCCTCCCGAGTGTTGGAATGACAGATAGGTATAAGCTAAGGAAAGTATTCTGAGTAGCTGGTTTGTACAGGCCCTGTGAGCACCTCAAAGCCTCAAATGTCCACACATTTCCAAGGGGCAAAGAGAGACCCCTGTGTCCATCTCACCCATACCCCAGGCAGGCCCTGCAGCAGGAAGGGAAGAGGGAGGAGTCTGGGGGAGGGGTGAGCAGAACCAGTGGGGCCAACCTGCCTGGCAGGGACTATCACCTGGCGCCAGGTAGAGGAAGAAGAGTAGCCTAGGATCCTAGAGGTGTGTGGGGATCCAGGAATGGGCTGGTCAGAAGTAGAACCACTTGGCTGGCAAGATGTGCCTCAGGAAGGGATTGGGCAACATGGCCTCAGGAAGGGTAAGAGGTGACAGTGGAAGTCATAAGGTGGGTTGGGCACCAGGCCTTGGAGCTGGTGACCGCCCAGTGCCTCTGTGTGGGGAAGATGTGACTGGGTGGCACCTTTGTAGCTGTGTCTGGGATACTGCTTGTGCTGTACAGGGTATGAAGGGAAATAAGGACCCAGGGTGTCACAGGCCACTCACTTTCCTTCAGGCGAACATCCAGTGGTGTCTCTAACGTTCTCTGCATGGCTTCTGCAAAGTCCGTGAAGAAGGTCTTGACAGGCTCAAAGGACAGGGGCACAGGGTGGCTCAGTTCCCCGAGGCTCATGTGTCGTAGCATCTCCAGTTTAATGGCCGTATATGCCTGCGTGGGGTACACATGGTCAGGGCGGCCAGGGGGCTGTGGCCAGACCCTGGCCATCTGGCCAGGCCCAGGATACCCCCTCTCCAGCTGTCCCCTTCCCACAGCAGCTCTAAGGGGGACCACAGCGAGTAATGCAGCTTCACTAATGCTAGGAAACCCACTCTCCCAGTCCGCTTGGCATCCATAAAGGTAGGAGGTTGGCTTTGGGAACACTTGGGTAGATGGAGACTGGGGGCCAACAGAGGAAAATGCCACTATTGTAGGCAGCTAAGTTAAGTAGAAACAGGGTAGATAGTCAGACAGGGTTAGGCCCTTGCAGGGGCCAGGATGGAAGACAAGGCCTTGCACCTGTGAGAGAAACAAGCACTCCCACTGTGGGCCAGATCTCAAGACAAAAGATCAGACAAATGCACCCACATAAACCCCAAGGAATGGACATAAGGAGTGATACTTTAAATAGGTAGCAATCACCTTAAAAAGCCAGGAAGAGTCACTAACTCTACCGCTGTTCTGTATCCATGCCCACTCATTACGTGACTCAATTCCCCATTTGGTCTCAATCAATTTTACCTGAGCAATTATACTTGTAATCTTATTGGTTGATCATAGTTCTGTCCCATGCCATGTCCACCTTATGAGTTTCCATGTTTCCCAACTTGGCCCCACCTTGTATCATGAATTTACTGCCTAGAAAATCCCTAGAAAAGGCAGGTTCCTTGAGAAAGCACTCAGGTCCCCTTCTGTTCCTCTCTGACAGAAGCTTTCTTTCTCTCTACTGTGCTCTTAACTTCTGTTGTTCCTAAAATTCATTATTTGATTGAAGAACACACGCTCATCCCAGATATCTTTAAGGTTAGGAGTTTCTTTTCCCTGTATCACCACCACCTGGTAACCCCAAACTCCATCATCTGGGCAGGGGCTTGAAACACGGTAGTATTACAGATAGCTAATTTAGATAGAAATACTATAGACAGTCAGATAGGGCCAAGCATTTGAAGTCAATGCAGAAGACAGCTGTGGCTGGAGGCATTCACTCAAGGTTGGGCTTCAAGAAAAAGAACTACTCCCCCATATATTTCCTGTAGGGATGAACAACAGTGATTGATATTCTTTTTTTTTTAATCTTTTATTTCATTATTTATTTGGTACAGGGTCTTGCTACACAGCTTGGACTCTTAGTGATGCTCTTGTCTCAGCCTGTCCAGTGTTGGGATTACAGACATGTGCACCATGCCAGGTTTTGGGGCCAGCACTGTGCCCGGGGTTCCAAGGCTGGCACGGCATGCAGTACCAGGGATTGAACCCAGGTCCTTGCACTTGCCAGGCAGGTGCTTGGACCTATGAACTATCTCCCCAACCCTGTCATTGATATTCTAAACGATCATCAATCACCCTCCTGAACCTGCTCTTTCCAGGAAGGTGCTTGTCTGCAAGTGTCCATATGCACTTGCTATGTGACTTGATTCCCATTTTGGTCCCTACTTAACCAATATTACCAAGCAACTATATTTGTTGTAATCTTATTGGTTGGGCATACTTTTGTCCCACCTCACATTCATCCTTGATTTTCCATCAGACAATATTATCTAAGCAACTATACTTGTACTTTTATTGACTGGTTATAGTTTTGTACCACCTTGAATCTGCCTCATCTCATTTTTTGGGTTGTTTTTTTTTATGTATTTGGTACAGGGTCTACAGGGTGTTTGGGGTCTCACTACATAGATCGGACTCGTAGTGATTCTCCTTTTTTCAGCCTCCCAAGTGCTGGGATTACAGGTGGGCGCCATTGCACCCAGTCTCAATCATGTCTCCTTGTGTCCCACGGGTGAGGCTGGCATGGTGTGCCTGGGATCAAATCCTGACCGCTGCGTTCTGCCTAAGCAGGCGCTTTAGTCTGCTGGGCTATCTGGCTAGCCCTTACCTCATGGTTTTGCTCAATAAAATAATCTTGAGACAAGGAGTTGGTGGGCAACCCACTTTCCAGACCCCCTTCTGTCCCTCTCAGACAGAAGGTTTATTTCTCTCAATAAATTTTTCCTAGTGTTAACTGCCATTGTTCCTAGAATTTATTTCTTGATTTTAGAGAACACAAACTGAGCATTTCAGACATCTAGTAGGTTGGGAGTTTCTTTCCCCTGTGTAAGTAGGTTTTACTATAGGTATGATGGAGGTCCAGGGATATAGCTCAGTGGCACAGCGCTTGCCTGGCAAGCACGAGGTCGAGTTTGATTTCCTGTACCCCAAAACAAAACAAAAAAACCCCACCCCTGAAACTCAATACGGGTATGATGGGATAAATGAATGAGTGAAATTGATACAGGGAGAAAAACTGATCTCCGGTGGGTGATCTCCAAATGATACAGGGAACCTCCAAATGACATAGGGGAAAATGATCTCCCGACCTGACCTGCATGAGTTCGTGTTCTCTAAAACCGAAGAATGAATTTTAGGAACAAACGGAGGTTATGAGCAGAATATATTTATTGAAATATAAAGACAGGGAAAGAAAGTTCCTGTCTGAGAGAGGGACAGGAGGGGGGCCCGAGTGGGTTGTTCCCGGGCAGCTCTCTCTTCCAGGGACTTTTATAGAGTAAAACCATGTGGAGAGGTGGGCCTAAGGGGTAGCGAACATGGGAAGTCACTTAGGTGGGCATGAGTTCGGACAAAACTATGGTCAACCAATGAGATTACAAGCACCATTGCTCAGGTAAAATTGATTAAGTTCAGGACCAAATGGGGAAGGGAGTCAAGTAGCAAGTGGCATAAATGTAGAACAGACTTTGTCAGGTAGCCATCCAGTAGTAGTTGGATTAACGATTCTTTGGTCTCCCTCAGGGTGATGAGCAATCTCGGATGCCAATCTTTAGGGAGGTCAGCATTTGTTTGATCTTTGGTCTTCAGGTCTGGCCCATGGCGGGAGCATCCCTCCCTCTCAGTGTTGCAAGATATCTTGTCTTCTGTGGTATCTCCTTCAAGGGCCTGGCCCTGTCTGACTGCCTATAATATTTCTATCTAACTCAACTGCCTGCAACAAAAATCAAGCACATCTGCTTCTTCCTTTTGCTGATGCAAAGAATAGCTCCTGTCATGCCAACCAGAAACCCAAGCACCAGCTTGAATTCTGCGCCCTCATCCCCAGCTCCAATCTCCATTCCTACTATGTCTGAATGTTCCTCTTTCCCACCTCCCCTGCTACCCCCTACCCAGGTCTAGGCCACCGCCATCTCTCTCTGACCACGTGGTCTCCCCAATCCTGCCTCCAACCCAGCTTCCAGTTCTGGTCTCCCTAGAGCAACCCTTGTCCAGTCACCAATATGACCTTTCTCTCTTTGGTCTCGGCCGCACAAGCAAGATGACGAAGGGAACATCATCCTTTGGAAAGTGTCGTAATAAGACGCACACGTTGTGCCGCCGCTGTGGCTCTAAGGTCTACTACCTTCAGAAGTCAACTTGTGGCAAATGTGGCTATCCCACCAAGTGCAAAAGAAAGTATAACTGGAGTGCAAAGGCTAAAAGGTGAAAGACCACCAGAACCGGTCAAATGAGGCACCTAAAAACTGTATATCACAGATTCAGGCATGGCTTCCGCGAAGGAACAACACCTAAACCCAAGAGAGCAGCAGTTGCAGCGTCCAGTTCATCTTGAGAATTGCAGCAATCACTCAAAATAAATGCTTTGGCTTTAAAAGATTAAAAAAAAATATGACCTTTCTCCAGCAGTAAGCTGACTGTACCAATTGTTGGGGACCACAAATTGTAAGGTGACACAGTATCCATTCTGGCCTGTCCTTGCTCTGCCTGCCTTGTGGATCAGTTTTGTTTTGGAACTAGGAATGGAACTCGGGACCTGAAGCTTGCTACTCAGGTGCTGCTGGGCTGAGCTAGATCCCTGCCCTTGTGGGCCAGCCTTGGAATGCAGAATCCTCACTTCCTCTGGTCAAGGAGAGAACAGCCAGGTGTTGGGATGGATCTTTGTTTCCTTTATGAGGTTAAACTTGCCCATTCAACCACTAGTTCTATGCTGTTTCAGAAAAAGCACTCTATCCCCTCCCCTGCACTGGCTAATAAAATAGTGGCTAGCTGGAGATTTGGGGCCTTTTGTTTCTAGAGAGCAGCTGGGGGTCTCAGATTCCTGCTATGTACCTCTCTACTTTTGACTCTTGCCTGTTCTTTCCTTTTTTGCTATGCACCATGACCCAGGCAGGAGACTGGAACCCACCGTACAGGTCTCCAATAACTGGCACTGTGGGAAGGTTCTCTAGTAGTAGGTGCTTTCGTTCAGCCCTTCAGCACACTCCCCTGGGCCTCATCATTGTACAGCACAAAGTCTAAACCTGTGGCTTGGTGTACAGTGGGCTGCATGAACTGGCCTGACCTCGCCTGCTCTTCCTCTAGGCAGGTGGATCCCAGGGAGTTCTCCAGCCAGCCAAGCCCTCACGTGTCCGTAGTTCCATTCTGCCTGGGACATCTTCCCTGTTGTGTCCTTCCATACAAACCTACTTAGCTTCCCATACCCAGCTCCACATGCCTCCTAGAAGTCCTCCCGGACACCTCTCTCTATAGAGTTAGGTATTTGTTGTACATACTTTGGCTAGCTTCTTGCTTGAGCTAGATTGTAAATAACTTTGAGAGTGTCTCCCCCTTGCACTATGAGTTCCCCATTTCCAGCAGGGGCCTGGGCAAGTATGTGTTTGATGACTATAAGAATGAACAAATAGAGGACAGGGATGATGAATGATTGATATCAGGAACTTTGGCATAGAGAATAAAAAGGAGGGGTCAGAGCCTGGAAACTTATAGGATGTGAGTCTCTTCAGGAGAGGGCTGTGTGTAGATTAAGACACTACAAGCAGAGGGCCAGGCAAGGTGCCTTGTGGCTTTAGAGTCACACAGACCCAGGTTCTGATCTCAGCTCTGCCAGCCTTCCAGCTGTGTGAATCTGGGGAGTCACCTTGCCAACCTGAACCCTAAATTCTCACGTATAAAGTGGGGTAAGAATATCCACTTCACAGAGTTCTACCGAATATTAGAGCTAAGATATTTAAAATGCTCTCAGCATAGAAGCCTTTGAAAATGGGGGCTAGTAAGTTATTTAATTAGCCCAAGATATATATTATCTTCCTAATGGTGTATATTCTCTGGCCAGTTTTTTTTTTTTTTTTTTTCCCCTAAAGACAAGGTCTTACTATGTAGTTCAGGCTGGCTATGAACTCACTCTGTATCCCAGGCTGGCCTCAGACTCATGGTGCTCCTCCTGCCTCAGCCTCCCAAGTGCTGGGATTACAGGTGTGAGCCACCACACCCAGATCTCTGGCCACTTGGTGGGGAGAGAAAGTCTACACGCTGAGAAAGCAAATAACTGTGAATTTACTTGTTGTGTAAACACTGTGTCCAGGGCCAGAGTAACCGCAATGGGTTGTGGTGGCGGGGGCAGCAGTAAGGGCAGAACCCGCAGCATTACCTGCAGCAGCTGAATGGGGTTGGGCTCCTGGCCAATGCTGCAGACCCTGCTGGAGATGTCATTCATGGTGTCAACTTGCTTTTCACAAGACTCAACTTGCTCCCTGTACGCCTGCAGCGCAAGCTGCATGTTTTTATCAACAAACTTTTTGGCCAGCACTTCCTCTTCATCAAGTAGCAATCTGAGTCCAGTGAATTTCTCCTTTAGCCAGGCTTTACTTGACTCTGCATGAGCCTAAAAAGAAAACCAGTTGCAGGTGCTGAGTTTTCCAGCAAGAAACAACAGCATAATCAATTTGAATAAGGTTATAACATCTACAAAGCAAGTTCAGCAAGGCGGTCAGTCAGATACAAGGGCAACTTGTAAAAACCTGAGCTTTTTGGGGCCAGGAAGATGGCTCAGTAGAATAAGTGCTTCCCTGGCAAGCGCAAAGGCCTGAGTTCAATCCCATCTCTGCAAAAAAAATAAAAACAAAAATAAAATAAAAAAAACTGAGCTTTTCTTATTGACCATTGTTGACCGGAAAGTACATGGGACAAACACAGACTTTTCTTAAAACAAGGAAGCAGCAAAATATCTAAAAATGAATTTAACAAAAATGTGAATGACATAGATGAGGAAAAGCATAACATTGTACTGAAAGAAACACAAAAAAGCTCTGACTATATGGAAGGTAAAAACAATATTCCTGACTAGGAACACTCATTACTTTTAAAAAGATGGTATTTCCTCCTACAGGAAAAAACATCTACAGGTACATCTAGATCTGTGTACCAAAACTGTCACTATGGCATTTATACATACAGAATAGACTTTTTTGGGCTGGGGAGATGGCTCAGTGGAATAAATAAGTGCTTCCCTGGCAAGTGCAAAGGCCTGAGTTCTAATCCCTGGTTCCACTAAAACAAACAAACAAACAAACAAACAAACAAAAAACCAGAATAGACTTTTTAAAAAATGTATTTGGTACAGGGTCTCACTACGCAGCTTAGACTTAGTGATCTCCTGTGTCAGCCTCCTCCGTGCTAGGACTACAGACATGCACCACCATGCCTGGTCTGTGCTGCTGGCTCAGTGTGCTGGAGGAGTGGGGCGGGCTTGGCATGTGGGGCTGGGGAGTGAACACCGGTCGTTGCGCTTGCCTAAGCAGGCACTGAGTCCACTGAATACATACAAAATAGAGGATAGTTGGGCACACTTTTAAATATGGAACATGCATGTGTATTAAGTTATATAAATTATGCTACATTCATACAGTGAAGTAATTTTTTTGAGACAGGGTCTTGCTCTATAATTCTTAAACTCACTGTGTAGCCCAGGCTGACCTCAACCTTCTTGAAATCCTCCTGCCTCAGCCTCCCAAGTGCCAGGATTACAGGTATGCCTCACCACACCTAGCTACAGTGAAATAGTTTATAATAAAAAGCATGCAATTTTCCGACACATGCTGCCACCTGGATGAACCTTGAAAACATTATCTTAAGTGAAATGGGCTAAACCCAGAAAGAGAATATGGAAGACCACCTGGGAGCAATTGTCTCCATCTTGGCTGAGCCTGACCCTACTTCCATGTACTGATATGTACACGACTGGTTAGAACATTTTCCTTATTGTTCCAGTTGGCTTTAAGCTGTGCATAGTGGTCTAGCCGAGGTACTGGTGGTAGTTTTTGAATACAGCAGGCATGTTTCCCTGGAACCCCAACCTGTTGTTCCCTGGTGTGAGCTGGGACCGGGTGGGATGAAGAGCCACAGCTCCATGCTGTCGGCGGGGATGGAGCCTCAGATAGAGGCTATGACTTCCTGGGGCTTGAAAGATTGCACTTCAGAGCCGAAGCACTGACTCCAAAACATGAGATACTATCTTGATTCTGTGTTGGAGATTACTCTTTCTGCATATCCTTCTGTCTATATTACAGGGGTTGGAGAGATGGCTCAGTGGAATAAGCGCTTGCCTGGCAAGTGCAATGCCTGAGTTCAATCCCTGGTTTGGGGGTGGGGGGAAGACTTGTCTATATTACAGAGGTGAATGCGGGCCTCCCACCTAGCGCAGCTCACGGCACTCACCTACTTCCTGCCACTCTCACAGTCACACATCCTCAAGCCACTCCTTTCTTCATGAATGAATAAAACCCAGGTTAGGACCTGGGTCAAGGCCTTTGTTCTGTTGTTTGTTTGTTTGTTTGTTTGTTTTTTTCCCCAGAACCGGGGATTAACTCAGACTGTTGCACTTTCCAGGGAAGTACTCATTCTACTGAGCCATCTCGTTGGCCCCGAGGTCTTTGCTCTGGATAACCATCATTATAGCTGGACTTGATACCCCTTGGTTTCCCATAACTACAAATATGACTTAGTGTCTTTATTCTCACCATGAATTGCACTGGAAATGGTAGATTGGAATTAGCTCACTAGAATTCTAATAACTTTTTTTTTTTTAAGGTTTTAATTTTATTTATTTATTTATTTGTGTGTGTGTGTGTGTGTGTGTGTGTGTGTGTGTGTCCAGCGCAGCCCACCAGGGGGCGGGGCT